CACGTTTGGTAGAAGGAATAAATTACGATTCCCGGATATTCAAGGATTACCGGTAATTTGATTTATAAAGAAAAGTCACTATTCAGATTACCAAAAATAATATGGTAATTCGGAATACCAATCAGAATACCAAGTAAAGGGAAAGCACAACAATAAATTTTGAGACAAAAATACCCCAATACACATAAAAATCTAGATCCAATCTATCAATTACAAAAGTAAAAATAGTTTGGGGTTATTTTTGTAAAATAACCTCATATTCCAAGTCATATTTCGTTCTAAACCAAATATGGAATCAGTAATTTTTACCCAATATTTCCGGTAATATTTTGGCGAACCAAACACCTCTTTCGTAAGATTCCAAGTAAACTCAATTTCTACTGTATTCCCATTAATCATGATTTCCGGTCACCAAAAAATTTCTCTTGTACCAAACATACCCTGAGTGACATGAATTAAAATCAATTATAGGTTGAAATTTATGGTTTTCGAGATACATCCTTTCGGCCAAGTAATTACTTGGCAATTATTGGTCCCAATTGAGTAAGAAGCATCTCTATGTTTATGGGGCTTATATAAACTCCAAATGGTGCATGGTAGTTATCTATGTAGCACCAATACGACACGCGACACGTGATACGACACGAGACGACACTCTGACATGTCAATCCTAAAAAATTATGAATTTTGACACGTTGGGATACGTTTTAATATTAAATAATATTTTTAATTTATATAGTGTATATTTCATTTAATATTTAATAATTTAACAAAAAAAATGAAACTAAATTAATAATACCCATCAACACGTTATAAAGATGGAAGCTTTAATAAAAAAAATAAGAACTAGGATGAGAGAGAGATCAAATCATATTAGAGAGAGATCAGAGAGAAGGAGATACAACAAGAGCGTGATAGGAATTGACAACAATGATGCTGAGATGATCTCTTATCTACTTAAGGGGAAAAAAGACAAAAAAATAAAATTGATATGATCAGGGGGAAACTTTATTAATATATTTTAATTTAAAAAAAAAATTTAAAAAAATTTAAAAAAAATTACGAAAATGCCATTTGACCGTGTCGGACACGGTCAAATTCGCGTGTCGGAATGGTCAACGTGTCGGAAAAAGTTGACTGCGTGTCCGACACCGTGTCGGAGCGTGTCGCCGTGTCAGAGCGTGTCCGACACGACTCTCCCTGTTTTTACAAGTGTCCGTGCTTCCTTGGTAGTTATGAAATTTGTAAACTACTGTTCAGTACTACAGAATTATTTTTCCTTACTTATATATTTAAGGGAAAAAAAGTTTCTGATGTTACTTTAGATAACTTTATCTAATGTTCATCGAAACGACGTCGTTTTGGAGTTGAAAAATTAAAAAATTAGAGTGATAAAGACTATTATAACCCTGAAATAAATTAAAATTACAAAAATACCATGATTTTCGTCCCAAAACGACGTCGTTTTGATGAACATTAGATAAAGTTATCTAAAGTAACATCAGAAAAAATAAACCCTTTATTTAATAATTGAAAAAGGCAGATTAGTATATATATGAGCTCTGTTCACGAGGCCTTATATATGATCACTTATTAAGTATATGTCATATAGAGCGTACATGGCCTATTGCATGTTTATTAAGAGCACATAAATAGTTTTTTTTATATCTTTAAAATGTAAGATTAATTTCTAATAAGACATTCGTTTCACTATGGCCATAAGGAGTTTGTAGTATTAGGTAAAGTCATGCATTATCAAAAAAGTCTGCCTAAAAAAAACTCAATTTATCGGATAAAACATACCCCATGATCATAGCCATTATTTTTTTTTTTTTATGATTAATATACATGTTATTTTGGTCATGTTGATAATCTTGTAGCATTGAAATACCATTAATATTTTATGAATTAAATTTACTTTTTAAAGAAATTTTCCAACAGTCATACCTTAGTGTAAACTGAAAGTGTTATACTTTAGTTTGTTATTTGAATTTGTCTGGTAATGATGCTGACTCAGTTGATTTTTTGCTCATTACATTTTTTTTAGTTTAGTTCAATCTTAGATGATGGACGAATAAATTGATATATGTACTGTCTAGGGAGTGATTGTCTAACTGTAAGGTAGGTTTTATGTAATGGTGGGGCGATAAAGGAGTTAGGGGTATTCGCCCCCGTGAAATTTATAAAATCTTTTATAAATGAATGTTATTTCTAATTTTCTAATTTTTTATCATATGTATGTATATATATATATATATAGGGAGGGATACGTTTATAACTTTTTTTGTTTATAACTCTTACAATCTTAACTATGTTCTCTCAGGAGAATATTCTCCATTACTGTTCTCCCGGGAGAACATAGTTGAGGTTGTAAGAGTTGTAAACAAAAAAAATTGTAAACGTAACTTGCTCCTATATATATATATATATATATATATATATATATAGGGCTTAACATTTCTGCAGCAGCCGTAGATAGTGTTATCTACAGCTGACACAGAAAAGTGGACCCCACGACTTAAAAAAAAAAAAAAAACTCAGGATCCGTTGCCGTATCCTAGGATTCGGACGCGGATCCTTGCTTGTTGTAGGTACAGCAGCTGCAGAAATCATTTTGTCATATATATATATATATATATATATATATATATATATATATATATATATATATATATATGAGACATGATTCTCTGACACCGGTGTCAAACTTTGAAATTTAATATCAAATCCTAACTGTTGATTAATAATTTCAATCAAACTTATTAATTAATCATTAATTTCAGATTAATGATAACCGTTGATTGACGAAAATCAACAGTTAGGATTTAATGTCAAATTGTAAAGTTTGACACCGATGTTAAAAGATCCTGCATATATATATATATATATATATATATATATATATATATATATATATATATATATTCAAAGGTTAATCAATTGATATAAGAAAATAAATATATAAAATGACGTAGTCTTGAGATAGCCGGAGATAAACTTATCTCAAGCTGTTTGAGAAATGTTTTTCCCTATATGGAAAAATATTTTCTCATGTTGTATGAGAATTCAATTATCATGTTGTGACCCTTCGATTTGAGTGCAAAGCTTTTCTTTTCTTTTTCTTTTTTTAATAAATATGGGACCCACCATTAGTTGAGTCACAACATGAGAAAATTCAATTCTCATGCAACATGAGAAAATCAAATCCCAAATATATATATATATATATGGAGTTACATTTCTGCGGCTGCTGTACTGCAGCAATCAAATACTTGCCATATATATACTTGAAAGCATTAAATACGGGGAATCATAACCATACAAAGAATAAAAGCATTAAATGTGGAGAATCATAACCATACACCTGTCGTTGTTGTACGTAAAGCGGCTGCAAAAATGATTTTACCGTATATATATATATGGGGTTTATATTTTTGCAACTGTTGTACGTGCAACAATCAAATATTTGCCATATATATATATATATATATATATATATATATATATATATATATATATATATATATATACTTGAAAGCATTAAATGCGGGGAATCATAACCATACAAATGATGAAAGCATTAAATGTGAGAAATCATAACCATACACCTGTCGTTGCTGTACGTAAAGCGGCTGCAGAAATAATTTTACCTATATATATATATAGGTTAAATATTTTCACAGCCACTTTAATACAAGATTGTCTACTACTACTGCTTTTTAATTAAGTCTAACCAGTAAGACATAAAAATTATATTTTCTTTCTCTGTCACGTCAGCTGATAATGTCTGAGGAGAGAAAAAAATAACTTTATTGTTATAACTATGTCTTACTGATCAGATTTAGTTAAAAAGAAATAGTTGTAGATATTGTTATCTAAAGTGGCTGTAGAAATACTTTTTCCATAAAATAAAGGGTTTAGTGTTTGTCCTTGTAAATGACATAAATTTATGTTATTTTAAGTGAAAAAAAGACAAGCAATGAAAATTATGAGAGAAAAAATGGATATTCTTTTAAATTTAAATTTTAAATAAAAAGATACTAGGTTGTGTTTTTGTTCTACTTAAAATGATACAACTATATGTCCTTTAAAAGCACAAATATTTCCCCCTAAAATAAAACAACTTATAAATATGGTTACTTTAACATTTGGATTAATACGTATATCAATATCTTAATATTCTAGATGAATATGTAATATCAAATTTATAAACGAGTTTAATTATATTTTAACAATAAAATAAAATAAATAACATATGATACAAATTTTGTAATGACATGAATATACTAATCCATGCTAATATAACAGAAGTTGACATATACCTATTTCCTAAAACCAGTGTTTTAAAATCTGAATTGGACGGATCAGGTCTACTCGAGTTTCGGTAATTTGGTGAGGGTATTAGTTCGAGCTGATTATTGGATATACATGCTCTTATATCGATTTTGACCGGTTAACTCAGCTGAATCTTGGTGAATCGACAGATCATATGAGACTTGGGTCAAGCTTTTTTTTTTTAAAAAAAAAAAAATTTAGAAAAACGAAAATTAAAAAAAAAATTAAACACCCGCAGAAACTCAAACCCACCCATCTCCCTCGCCTTATTCCCTCCCATGATACTTAAAATTGGGATTTTATATAAAATTAGAAAGAAATAAAAAATTATAAAACATAAAATTATAGAGGAAGAATATTCTTACTACTAAAATTTTTTACTACCAACTTACTACCTATCTAATCACCATTAGATTAATATTTTCTCTCTCTTCAAAAACTTTTTAACATTCTCTCTTTAATCCAATGATGATGTGATGGGTAGTAAGCTAGTAGTAAGAATTTCTGGTAGTTAGAATATCTTCACTCAAAATTATAACGAAAAAAAATTATAAAAATATTTGAAATATTAATAAAATTATTTTGACAAAAAAAAATTGAAAAAAAAGTAAAATCATAATAATAAATCGAAATTTTAAATAACACGATCTCACCCACAAACACCTTTCTCCTCAATTTTTTTTTTCTTTGCCACCGTGAACCTTCATAACCACCGCAGGCCGCCAACCCGCCTCGCCGACCACCAAAACCCGTCACCGACCCATCCTCTTTTTCTCCTTTCACTTGTGATCTAAAAACCCATAACCTCCACCAACCGCCATAATCGTCCTTCCCACTTACGAGAAGTGCGAGTACGAGCTTGTCATGGAGAGGATGCTTCAGATGCAGAAGATCCACGAGGAGAAAGCCAAGTTTAAACACAAACACGGCGCCGTTCCTGTCGTCCCCAAAACCGCCAATATCTGATTCTCTCTCACTTTCCCTCTCTGCAAGGTGCTCTCTTCTTTCAATTTATTTGATCTAAGGGTTTTGTACAACTATTCTGTGTTCTCATCACCGATCGATTTTTGAGTAATTAGGCTTTGTCTCTGATTGGGTTTTTTTTGAAACGGGCAGGCTTGTGGGATTTATTTGTTCAGAATGTCACTCACTTCAATTTCAATTTCAATTTATGTGTTTGTTTTCTTCCAGTATTTGAAATGTTGGGATGTGAATTATAAATGATATAGTTAACATGGCCATTGTAAACCAAAATGAAAGCAATGTTGGTGAAGGTTTGGATGAGATTGGTGGAGAAAGACTAGGAGAACCTGAATTTGATACAATACACTATAGGCATCGTAATTTTTATCAGATTGTGTATTATCTCATACTAATTGGCTTATAGATTTCATTTAATTGGTTGAATTATGTTAAATATTTTGAATTTTTGATTAAGAATTTGATTTTCTGTGAATTTTTAATATAGTAATACATTTGTATTTTTAGGCTAAAACAATTTTCTCTTTTAAAATTGGTAAAATCATTTGATAAAAATAAAATAAAAAATCACAGCATTCCTTACGGTGGTGTACACAGTGGTGACACCAGACAAAGGAGGAGCAATAGGATTTCTGGTATCTGGCTATGGCCACAAGCACAAGGGAAATGAACCAGCAAAACCCAAAGAAGAAAGTCCCTCTCTTTCCCCTTCTCTCTCTTCTCTGCTTCACTTCCATCTTCCTCATTCTCTCTCCGTTCAAAAACACCACCACCCCTTCAACTTCTCACTCCCTTCGCACCTTCCAAATTGACAACAAAGGTACTTGCGACTATTCCGATGGAAAGTGGATCTACGACAACACGTGGTCTCCGAGGTATGACAACACGTGCAAGGAGATATTCAAGGGCTGGAATTGCATCTCTGGTAACAAATCCAACGCCCCACAACTCGCCAAGTGGCACTGGAAGCCCCACAACTGTGATCTCCCTCAGTTTGATCCCATTGGGTTCCTTCACAATCACAGACACACCAGCATTGGTACTTTCTCATTCTGCAAAATCCAAAGTTGTGTGCTTTTTTGCATTCTTAATAATGGGTGTTTCAACAGTGCAGGGTTTGTTGGCGATTCGCTGAATAGGAACATGTTTGTGTCTCTTTTTTGCACTCTCAGGAGTGTCTCCAATGGACAAGTCAAGAAGTGGCGACCCGCTGGTGCTGACCGTGGATTCACCTTTCTCCCATACAATCTCACCATTGCTTATCACCGTACCAATCTTCTCGCTCGTTATGGTAGGTAAGCTAAGTTTGTGGTTTTTCTGATTCTTATACTGTTTCTTGCTGCAAATTCTCTTGTGGGTTTTGCTGTGAAATTCACCTTGTGTGCTGCTGTTACTATATTGAGTTCATGGAGCTTTTACCCATTTTATGATTTGTTATTATTGGTTGAGATGTCGTGGTTTACATTATCTTATGTGCTATTATTATTAGACCATGCAGTATTGTTTATTGCACATTGTTAACTATTGTTCTTGTTCCTTTGTTTGATGCAGATGGTCAGCTAATGATAATGGCGGTGCCTTGGAAACTCTTGGATTCAGAGAGGGCTTTAGAGTTGATGTTGATGTACCAGAAAGCACATGGGCACAAGCTCCAAGTTTCCACGATATTCTAATTTTAAACACCGGTCACTGGTAATGCTAGAATGTTTCTATATTCTGTCAATGGGTCATGTATTCTAGCTGCTTTGCATTCTAGTTATTGATGTTGGAAAGTATAGATATTCAAATAATGGGTGGGATTAAAGTATCCGTCTTTGTATCCTAAGATTTTGTTTGTTTGGAATGTCTTGTTGTGAGTGCATTTACTTGTGTTTTGAGTTTCCTCTAAGGATCACCATGCTATATTTTATCTGTGATCAGTCTTATGATCTGGTTTCATCAATGCCCTTGACTTTTATGGTCTGTTTTAAATTTAATCAATGCAAATAATGTCTTTCATTTTTCTGCTTGCTTGTATTTTTCTTTGTTTGAGTTGAGCTCATATCAGAGATGTTATTTGACAATTTGGGAAACATTTGAGTTTTATGATCTGGTTCAACCATGCAGATAATGTCTTTTACTGCTCGCTCCTCGTTTTCCTTTATATGAGCTGATGTTGTAGCTGTTCTTTGGAAATTTTTGAGATAATTTATAAGAAGATTTTAATTTAATTTATTTGATAATTTATGGTTCATATAAACAGGTGGTGGGCCCCTTCAAAATTTGACCCTGTGAAGTCACCTATGCTTTTCTTCAAGGCAGGCCAGCCAGTGATCCCTCCATTACTACCAGATCAAGGCCTGGATATGGTTTTGGAGCACATGGTAATTTCTTTGTATTCTATTCCTCTTCAATGTTAGGAACTAGGAACTGATGTAATCTATAGCTCTGAAGTTAACTTGATTGAGTATGAAACAATTATCAATTACAAGTATTGTGTTAAACTGTTAATTGACCCTATAGATTTTTGCTTCTGCTGAGTTTTGTACATTTAGTTCTATAATTATTTTTCCCAGCAATGTATAAAAGTAAAAAAAAAAACAAAAACAAAAGAACGTGCTAGGGGTCTATGTTCATATGAGGTAAGATGCTTATGACATTTAGAGATTGAGTTTGTTCTCAATTGTTTGTTGGAGAAGGTGCTTTCCTCATTATTGAAAGGAAAAGAAGATGCTCATTTTTTTTTTTTTTTGGGGGGGGTCCTTAGTTCTATAAAAAAATAAAACTATTGTTGCCATCGATTCTCTCGTGATTACATGGCTGCTATGATCTTGAATGTCAACCTCATTTAGCCTCCATCTGGTCTTTTTACAATTGGACAGGCATGAGCACAAACATCTCTTGTTGATACTTGATTAAAGTATAACTTTGCTTCAAAAAACATGTATAAATGACCTCTTTATTGAAAAAGATCTATAGTTGACCTCTTTATGATACAGATAAAGGAAATTAGCACTGAGAATATTGATTGGTCAACATGCTCTTTCCTTTTCAATTGATACATCTGTATTTGGGAACTATCTCGAGTATTAGCATTAAGATCAATTATTCTGCAAAACAATGAACATCCAAGTCAAGCAATTTTTTTATTAGAAACATCCGTATTTGGGAACTATGTCTAGCTTCAATATAAAATATTTTTTCACCCCAAAAACATTGAACTTTTAAGTTGAGCAACTCTTTCTCCCTGTAACTGATCACAATTAAGCTACTTCTATAGTTACAACTAGTTTAAATAGGAATGTGATTGATTTGTATATTTTAATATGATAGAGTGGTTTCTTTACAGATCCCATATGTGGAGGAAAGAGCACGACCAGGTGCAGTCAAATTTTTCCGTACTCAATCACCCAGACATTTTGAAGGGGGAGACTGGGATCAAGGTGGTTCCTGTCAAAGGGATCGACCTTTATCGACAGAGCAGGTTGGTCCATTTATTTGTTATTATTATTATTATATTTTTTTAAGCATTGTCCTGAGTCTGACTAGAACTATCATCGAAGGGGTGGCATATGTGATTCCTCTTGAAGGTGTGGTTATTCCATCTTCTCATTGCATTGCCGCTACTTTGAGTGCCAAATTATGAAACAATAAGCTGAGCTTGGAAGTTTTGTTGGCCTTTCAGGTAGAAAAACTTTTCTCTGTGAAGAATAATGGGACAAATGTGGAGGTTCGACTGGTCAATGAACACCTCTATAAGGCTCTGAAGGGATCTGGTTTCATTATTTTGGACATCACTCGTCTGAGTGAGTTCAGGGCTGATGCCCACCCAGCTACTGCTGGAGGCAAAAAACATGATGATTGCATGCACTGGTGCTTACCAGGAATTACAGATACCTGGAATGACTTGTTCATACAACATCTCAATCGTATCGAGGGTACAAGTTGATGATGAAGTAGTTATTTATATTCGATAGCATACGGTTGTCTTGAACTTGGTCATTGGTTCATTGAGACGAGATTGATTGAGTATATTCTAACATTTTCTTTTTGAAGGTTACTGAGATAAATTAGTTCCACATACAAATATTATAGTTTGTCCAATCCACGATGTCTGCCAAAATGCTCTCTTTTTTTGTACATAAAAGGCGGATGGGAGGTTGCCCTATTTCAACTTTAGTATTGATTTATAACGTTATTTATCAGTGAAAGACCGTGTAACACCCTGTTAACAGAATAGAACATCAGAATTAAATGCAGCTCCTACAATTTGAGCACAATTAAATACCCACTATGCCAGAGTGTTTACAATGCATAGGAAAAAAACAAAAAAACATAAAGCTATTCAGTTCAAAGCTGTCAAGTATATTATAATCTCAAATTCATAGTTTCAAAGACATCAAGTAGATCTTCATACACAACGCGGATAAAAAAGTTTCGTCAAGTACAAGATCACATGTAAGATCTATATAAAATCAATCACGTTTCCAAAATATCCAGCACATAAGCAATTATGTGATACAACATCCACAGGTATCATTTCAAGCATTTTTGGGCCCATTTTCTTGTTCTTTTAGGCCTGAAATAAAAGCCCATAAAAGATGGTATTCAAAACTCAGACATACACCTGCAAAAGAACCAGTTTACGACTTTACGTAGTACATATATAGAATTCATGATATTCACAAGATTCGTAACAGCTATAAAACATAACTAAATATAAAGGAATGGAATTATAAGTCTCCTGTCACACGAGACAATCAGACTCTTCTGTTGACTTAAAAAGGTGCGGGATCCAATTTTTTTTCCTTTTTCGTGTACAGTGAAACCTATAATGCTAGCTTGTGTGTTTGTAATAAGAAACAATTTGTCGGAGAAAATATGCTCCCGTTAAGTAATTCACTTGCAACCCAAGATGAACTATATATAGTCTTACGACCTCAAGAATTAAGGCTATTGTATATGCAATCATATGCACTAGTTAACTTGTATGTAATTTGAGCTCAAATATAGTGTGACGTCTCTAACGGATGTCAACTAACCATTCCTACTCTTTGAAGCATACCGCAAGTGACTATAAAACAATGTACATCAATCAATATTTCACACATTAATTTCTAGAAAGTATGAAAAAAATTGAGAATCTGAATGTAATTCAAGTTATTTGTATACTGACAATAAAAGTAGCAGAGAGTATTCAAGCTATGCAAAATTAAAAGTGAATTGTGAGTTCTGTTGGGAAATTTCTGCCCAGGTATCCAGATACGTGACTGCAGGTATTCAAATATTTTAACCTAGATATTCGAATATTGCTCGACAGCCAGATATCTCGAGTACAGAACGCAGAAATTTCCTTTGAAAATTCTACGGAACCCCCATTTGTGATTTTTCTTGCTTCACACCTATATTAACCCATTCATGTACATCCTTAGGGTCAACGAAAAATCAATTTAATTATAACACATAAAGAGAGTTTTCCAACAGATATGATTTCTAAAAGTAAGGCAGCACATGGGATTCTAAATTAATTCCTTCATTACAATCAGTGTCTGTTCATGGTGTTATACAGATCAGTACATTTTATCTTGATAGAGACATAGCCCATATTCCATGCATGTCATAAATTCGAATTTTATAAGAGGATAGAAGAAGAGAAAGGGGTCTTCCTTCACACTTACTTTGTGAAGACCAGACTTCAAATGGTGGAAGAGGTTCAATCCCCCACTCTTCAAGTTGGTTCGGTCTACACTTCCTTCTTCTCTCCAAGTCCGAATTTCTTGTTTCACCTCCCTAGCTATAGCTCCTCCTGGTTAGATTAGTGGCTGGAGTGGGATTTTCAAGCTCTCTCTCTACATATATATATATATATATATATATATATATTCTATAGTGGCTTTCTAGGAGTACATGCAAGATGTTAGTTGTGAAGGAAAATTTTGCCCAATACAAAGAAGGACTTGTCTAAATGGGGAGTAATAGGATGTCTTTTCTTACTTGTGTGAAGATAGCTTGAGGTAAGAGAGTAATTTGGGGAAGAAAGGAAAGATTGTCAAGAAGGTGAGTGCCTTCGGAAAATTTTCTTGGAGGAAAAAGAAGTAGCAGAGGATGGTAAGAGGGTGGAGTGCTGAAATGAAATGCTCTGGTGCAATGATGGAAGAATACGACGGTGCATCATGCTGAGGGAAAAAGTATGGTCATGAATTCACCGATGAGTTAAAATGGAAAGTCGTTTGTGCCTCTCTACACAAGGGGTGGGATTTGAGTAGAATTTGGGGTATGTCTTATTTTTAAAGATACAAAAATTGTAGGTGTTAAACCATGAACAATAATCAAACCCTATATATATATATATATATATATATATATTTATTTATATATTTAGAGTTAATCCAATCTTAATTATTTTTTTGAGAGGAATTGGCTTCCCTGAAATATCTCAGATTTGGAACTAATCCAGAATAGGGGACTAGTCAGGAATGAACATATTTAAACCTCTCTGAGAGTGGCATGTGAGGATCGAACCGTTCTTTTTTCTTTCCACTTAATCATCCCCTTTACTATCAATTGAGCTACCCAGATACCTTTAAATAAAGCTTCTTAGGCTTCGTTTAATATAGTTTTTTTTTTTATCGCTGTTTAATATAGGGTAGACCCAACTAATCCTATCCATATCAGTCTTTTTTTTTTGTGAAAAAATAACATTACTGATAATTAATACAAATTTAATCCCTATCCCTTGTCCTTATAAGTTTAGGATTTAAATTGTAATCCTTTATTATAAAATTAGAGGCTAAGCAATTCCAAATATTCTAAGGGCCTGTTTGGTACGTGGGTATATCTTTTATGACCAGGAAAGTTAAAGTGACATTCTTTAAATACTATGTTTGGTACACAGAAATGCAAAATTACGGTCGACAACCTTTTTTCCTAGTATTTGCTATAACATATAAGAATGAGGATGGAGAATGACTTGAAAAAGGGTATTCTGATATATTATTGAATTGTGTTAATAATTTGATACAAAGAGGTCTCTATTTATAGAGAATAAAAGACCTAATTCTTAACCTAATGGGCTTGGCCCAATACAACAAATAATAATAAATAACTAATATTTTTTTTTTGAATACATAAATAACTAATATTTACAACACTCCCCCTCAAGTTGAGGAATAGATATATATCATTCCCAGCTTGCTAGTAAGTTCTTGAAATCTGTCTGAAGGAAGTCCCTTTGTCAATAGATCAGCTAATTGACGCCCAGTGGGAATGTATGGAATGATAATCAACTCGCTATCAAGTTTCTAGCTCTTTGATGAAATGACGGTCGACCTCAATATGTTTAGTCCGATCATGTTGAACCGGATTATGAGCTATACAAATAGCGGACTTATTGTCACATAGCAGCTTCATAGGTCCCTCACATTTAATTTTGAGATCATCAAGTACAATTTTCAGCCACAGTAACTCACAAATGCCTTGAGCCACAGCTCGAAATTCAGCTTCTGCACTTGATCTGGCAACCACATCTTGTTTCTTATTTCTCCATGTCACCAAGTTACCGCAAAGAAACATGCAATAACCAGTGATAGATCGTCGGTCAGTCACGGATCCAGCATAATCAGCATCAGTGTAGACTTCTAAAGAGAGATTGCTATCACGTCGGATAACAATCCTTTACCAGGAGTAGCTTTAAGATACTAAAGAATTCTCTCTACTACCTGCATGTGTTTCTCCTTTGGATCATGTATAAACTGACTGACAACACTAACAGCATAAGCTAGGTCTGGTCTAGTATGAGCCAGATATATTAATTTCCCAACTAGCCGTTGATATTGTCCTTTATCAACTGGAGGACTTTCCTCTTCATTGCCTATCTTGTGATTATGCTCAATAGGAGTATTAGAGGGTTTACACCCGAGCTTTCCTACTTCTTTGAGAAGATCAAGAACATATTTCCTCTGGTTGATAAAAATTCCTTTGCTTGAATGAGCTACTTCTATCCCTAGAAAATATCTCAGTTTCCCAAGGTCTTTGACTTCAAACTCAGAGGAAAGCCGTGTTTGCAGAATTTGTCTCTCCACAAAATCATCACCTGTGATAATAATATCATCAACATATACAAGGATCACAGTAAGCTTCCCATTTCGGGAGTGCTTGAAGAAAAGAGTGTGATCTCCTTGACTCTGTCTGTATCCTAAGGTCATCATAGCCTTAGTAAACCTTCCAAACCAGGCACGAGGTGACTGCTTTAATCTATACAAGGCCTTTTTTAATCTACAAACTTTATTTTCTCCCTTCACAGAATCGAAACCAGGCGGGATTTCCATGTAGACTTCTTCTTTTAACTCACCATTGAGGAAAGCATTTTTCACATCAAATTGATTTATATCCCAATTGTAACGGACAACAAGGGATAACAAGACTCTCACCGTATTCATCTTTGCAACTGGAGCAAAGGTTTCTTCATAATCAATGCCATAGGTTTGAGTGTAACCTTTGGCGACTAATCGAGCCTTTTATCTCTCAAGAGTTCCATCAGAATTATATTTCAGGGCATAAACCCATCTGCACCCTACTGCTTTTTTTCCGTTAGGTCTATCAATAACCTTCTATGTTTTATTTTTCTCCAACGCATTCATCTCCTCTTGCATGGCTTGAGCCCAATTCCCATCTTTCAAGGCTTCATGTACTGATTTTGGGATTGAAATAGAATCTAGTGCTGAAATAAAGCTTTTGTGCTACACAGAAAGATTAGCAGAGGAAACAAAATGAGAGATATTGTATTGAGTACAAGAGGGACAGGAAGAACAAGATTTCTCGGAACAAGATCTTTTTCCTTTTCTTAGAGCAATGTGTAAATCATCAGAATCAGTAGTAATGGGTAAGTCATCAGAAGTATTAACATCATGATCAGAAATATGAGATTCAAGACTTACCAGTGGTTCAGACGATTGAGGTTGCTGGTGAGGCAATGTGGGCTGTTTCCTTCTTTGATATACCAACTCAGGTGTCACAATCTTCTGTATCTCTGGTGTACTTGATGTATCAGTCACAGGAGGATCAGACATAGAAGGAACAAGAACAAGAGGAGGAGACACTGACACAGGTAAAAGAGTAGACACTGAAGATTCAAACTCAAAGAAGGAAGGTGATGAGTTTTC